ACTAATTCCACACAACCAACTAAATTAATTAACAGGAAAATTTATTATTAGTTCAATCAGTTGTTAACTATTTACTAGTTCAGTTGCTTATATGTTAAACTGCAATTATATTTGTTAATTAAATCAATTTTAACTTATTAACCTGTCCAATTAATTATATGTTAAACTGCAATTATATTTGCTAATTAAATCAATATTAACTTATTAACCTATCCAATTAATTATATGTTAAAATATATCTAAAGTCTGTAAAGTGTAAAGGTTCTAACCTTCTAGGTCTAATTCTCATAATTTTATTTTTTTTCCAAGTTGACCTACTTATCATGAAAACTACTTAGGCTATGTTTGGTAAAACTAGTTGATAAGCTAGCTTATAGCTTATATGTAATTTTTGAATTTATAGCTTATTGACTTATAGCTGAAAAGCTAGCTTATATGATAAAAGGTGTTTGGTAAATTAGCTGATAAGCTAGCTGAAATAAAAAATTCAACTAGCTTATTTGAAAAGCTATATCTAAAGTAGCTTATGAAATAAGCTCGAGCTTTTTAAAAAAGCTCGTCCTACCAAACGAAGTTTATTTTAATACATGAAGCTTATAAGCTAACCAAATAAGCTATAAGCTAACTTATTTGGCTTACCAAACATACCCTTAGCCAGCAAGAAAAATAGAAATAAAAAAGTCGGAACAATTTAAACGACATAAATGCTTAATCAATTGCACCTGTTAATTAATGCAAACTTGGATGAATTTTACTTTAAAATTAAAAAATATTGAAAATTAAATATAAGGATGTAAAATTTCAATATTATATTGATTGATAGTATAAATATGTAATAAAAATAGAAAATAAACTATTTAAAAAATCAATATATTTTTTCAAAATTAATATTGTTGAAAATATTATCATATATAAAATTCGTATTTTGAAAATATTTATGAATATAATTATTATTTTAAAATAATGTTATTTTGGAGTATTTTTTTTAAATATTATTTTTATTTATTTAATTTCAATATTTATTAAAAATAAAAAATAAATTATTTAGAGCTATTCAATTTTTTTTAAGCTTGACTATTGACGATGCTTTGAACTATGAAATAAAAAAATAATATTTAAGCTTAGAAAAAAAATTTAAAATAATTGTCTAAGTACTTCATTTTTAATTTTATTAAATATTTGGATATCAATCAATATAATATTTAAATTAAATATTAATAACATTAAATTTTCAATTTTCTGAACCTTTAAAATTATTTTTCTAAACTTTTGTGTAAATGTAAGGGTAGAATTAAGAACTCAAACTAAGAGCATCTCCAATGCTCAATGTTGTAGATGAAAATTACATTCCACATCAACACATTTATTAATATCACAATTTTACATCCTCCAATGTACAATGTGATTACAAATGTTGTGATGATGTGGATATAATTAATGTCTACAATGTAGA